GAGGGGAGTAGTAGTCCTCAAATGGAAACAGAGCAACAAGTGGCAGGTAGTTGAACACGATGATACACAGGATAGAGAGCACCATCTTGAAGGCCTTCTTTTTCATGGGGTGCATTGCATCTTTCCCTGCACCGGTGGACTTCTTCAGTGCCCACAGGATGCTTGCGTTACACACCACCATCCAAGTAAATGTTGCCAGTACCTCACCGGTGAACAACTTTTCAAAGTTGGGGAGCCCTCCCACCATCTTGGCTGCTGAGTAGGCAAAGGTGAGGCAGAGCACCAGCACTGAGAGGCCTAACCTGTACTTGAAGTGTTTAAGTTGCCCAAAAGCGATTGGAAAGAGTACAGCTACAAAGCGATCCAAGCAGATGCAGGAGAGGAACAACGGACCGCTGGTGTCTTTCACGCCATAGGAGAACTTAATGGCAGACAACACCTCTTTGAGCTTCCAGAGGTAGAGATTAAGAAAGCTCAGGGGGGTCATTGCACCAAAGTAGGCATCCATGAAGGCCAAGCAGCCCAAGAATATGTCTGAAGTGGAGGGCTCTTTGCGATTGTGGATGAGAATAGCAATGACGAGTAAGTTGGCCGGGATACCCAAGATTACATTGATGCACTGAATGGCCAGGTCAAAGAGAACGGCCTCTATCAGGTTGTCGCACCCATCAATAGCACTGAAGGATGTTGCCGTGCTGTTTATGAATGCTGTGGTATTGAGAAGCAGCTGGGTCAGGATGGATGTTGAGCTGAGTGATGAATCATTTGTGTCCATGTTTGTGCTACCACAAGAATCAGCAGTCTGATGGGAGAGGAGCGAGAAGGATTATTGAGCTTCTGACCAGTCAGAAGCACAAAAAACAGCAGCTGATACCACTGAAACCATGCAATTATTAAAGTGTTTTGGTTTCTTTTACATCTGTGAAGCCAAAGCCTGTCTGCTAATTAGAATCCCTGCTTCTGCTCTGCTGAGATTCATCTTACAAGTAGAGATAAAGTAGCTCCAGAGACAGTAAAAACATGTCGCAAACACCGTCAGAGCCTCTCCTCAGGCTGTTATCATGTTATTGTGTCTGTGCGGACTCTCCTCTGGGAAACGTGACTCCCCCTAGGAACATGTAACTCACTTAAGAGAGTCATTCTAAAAGCACCACCCTTTCACAGAAGGATAAAAAGGGCAGTGATTGCCAAATTAAAATGGAAAAGGTCATATTCTGTTCAAGATTATTGTAAGTAATGTCAGTGGGAATTTGGTCAATTCTTGGAGCTTTTAAAAGCCCATTTCTGACATTTAGCTCATCTTTAAGCTAATTTCAAAAAAGAAGGATGATAACTTGGAAAATGAATTTTATCAAAGGTGGACTGATGGAATAAAAACATTCATAAGCCATAAGTTTAGTTTCTCTGTCTTTGGGTCCTACAAGAAGATTTTTGATGTTTCTTCTGCAGTTTTTTTTATGAATATCAGGTTTTGTTCTGGGCTTCGGGAATGTTTGCAGCAGCTCGTAGTCAGCCAGATTTGAACAATGTGAAAGTGCAAGAGTTTTTAAATGGAGTACACCTGAGCTACCTCCAGTAATGGACTATAATAAGCCAGAGGCTGTGACTGTTCCTTGCCATCGAGGGAACTGTTCTGCTATAATACAGACCTTTCTTGAGCTCTGTTCCTTAGTGGGCGATGTTTCTGACGTGCTTCTGCTGCAGGCCACAAACGCTCCGGTGGGACTAATCACGGGAGGAGTAATCTTTGGCAAAGATGCTCCTCCCTGGAAATTTCACATCTAATCAATTGTATTTTTCTTTGGGCAATCACTGGAAAATGAAGTCTATATTACAGAATTTACAAAGAACACATTTCTGAGGGTTTAATCAGGTGTGGATCACAGCACTGTACTGATGTTGATTTGCATTTTTAAAATTCTGATGAGGTGATTTTTGCTGATTATTTTATTGCACTGCATCCAATAATGCATGAAAGCAAAGGCTATTAAATATTTGATTTGGAAATTTGGAACACTTCTGTCATGTTTTATGAAAACTCATATTGTAATTACCCACCAAAAATCACATGTTTTTTTTAAATTTCAGATTTGTCCTTTGCAGCATTCTTGCCACTGTAGATAATTTCATATGTTTTTTGCTTTACAGCTAAAACACGCAGAAATGCTACCGTTTGTTATTAAATAAAGTCACTCCATGCATAACGAAGATGAAGATGAAGATGTGTGCAATGTCAAGCGAAGAGAAAGTAAACGGACCTCTGTCTATTTCTCACTTTGATAATTTCTTGCAAAACAGAGTTAACCCCTCATCCCTCAAATCTGAATTATTGATCTGTTACTTTAATATATGGTTTGGCATCTGTGCTCTTATCAAGGACACATACTGAGTGAAGCAGTTTGATTAGAAACAAACTTCTTGAATTAAAACCCATGTACAAAATCACATTGGCCTTTGAAGCATTTTAAAGCATCTCAATGTTCTACTCACCTGTTTGAATGATTCCTCTAAGCTGAGCAGTAAGTGTGACGCGGAGCGTGTTACAGGTGTTCATTTATAAGTTCTCTGAAGTGTCGTGTATTTGACGCCAACCAGGGGAGGTTCTGTCTGACATCATGAGGGGCTGACTCTTCAGTAGAGAAACTGTTGTGATGAAGAGTTTCTGTATTGTGCTGATATTTTTACACAAGCAAGAAATCTCTGAACTGTGCCAGAGGTTATAGATAAGCTTGCCAGTGTCAATTTGCTTGACAATGAGTGTTACGGGACCAGTCTGATGATGCTCTCTGTTCACTGGCAGTGATGAATGCTGTCCTCAATCACTGAACACAAGTGCAAGAGAAAATCAGCAGTCGAGAGCAGATCTAAATTGTGTTTGCTGGGTTTTAATGCATCAGTGTCTCACTCATGTAGCTGAAGAAAACAGCTAGTTTAGATTCCCAATGGAGTGCTCATCAGTTACAAGTGAAGGTGAAAAAAGCTGTGGTAGGTGTATAAAGCCTGTGTGTGTGAGAGTTATGAGTCAGGATGTACTGGGATCGATTGTTTCACAGAGCGGTTAATTTTGAGGCTCTGCTAAGTAGAACCCAATGTTCTGTTCCCATGTGAAGACAAGAGGGAAAATCCACAATGATCCAGAAGTGAGGGAGACAGAGAGAGAGAAAAAGGGGGTGGGATTTGTTTGCATTACTTCTTTTTTGTCTAGGGGGGCAGCAGAGGATCATTGTGCCTGTTTGACAAGCACAGCAGGTTCCCACAAGTAGAACCTGACGCTCATGCAGACATGACATGATATTTACAGTCTATTAAATTCCCCAGGAGCATCTGAAATCTATCCTTTCCACCTTCATCTATTACATAAATCTTTTTTTCTCCAAATATGACCGTCGGTTTCATGTTTATACATTTATAGAGTAAAAACATTCCTATGATAGCGGGCTTCAGAAATTCTGGTTTTGATGCACCAGCTGCAGATCCATAGTTCTGTTCCTATTCTTGTGGTTTTGCACTGTGTCCTGCACATTCTTCGTGCTTTCTCTGCATCTTTCAAATTAAAACACTAAGCCTGTGCATCTCCAACCAAACCATCAGTGCACCAGCATAAGGACAAGTGGAAAAGAAACAGAAGAGCAACAAACGGAGCTTAAGCTTAAATAATTACATATACAGTAGGGAATGTGTTTATGCAGAACCAAACAAATCCACAATAAAATCCAATGCAGGACAAATTTATGCCAACTTAATAGAATTTATTAAAGAATAAACTATTCATGTCAAAAGCCTGTAATACAAATCATAATCTTGGCTGCTTCAGTGGGTCATATAATTGTAGCAAAGTTGAGTCACATCTTATAAAAACACAAGCTGTGAGGAAATGTTTTCCCCTTTCTCTTATTTCACGTCTCAGTTGTAGTAACCTTTGCAAACAAGCACAGCTTAAGAGGACAGAATGCAGTCTGTGGTATTAGTCAGAAACGTTGCCACTGATATTGTGCAGACCTCATCACAACACCATCAGCAGCATGCAGCACACCGTGATAATTAACATAATTAAAATCAAATAGCAAAATGTGCTTTGGATCCATGCATGTGAGTAAGATATCAGCATTTTATTGTCTTGTTGTGCATTTAAATCCGTGATATAACATGTGTGTGTACAGAGGAGGCAGAGACTGTCCACAGACATCCAGCCGCCTCCAGTCTCGTCTGCATGAGAGAGATGCAGGTAAATTCCCACCAGAACATACACCCACTTACTTGCTCTCACACACGCACGCACGCACGCGCACGCACGCACGCACGCACGCACACGCATGCACGCATTTACGCACGCACACACACGCATGCCAGCATGCATGTACAAGGCAAAGTACTAATTGTGACAGTGCTTCCAAAATAAACCCTGCAATAAAAAATAACAAATGAACAAAAAACATATCAGAAATAGTTGTAATGGCTTTAGAGTATATGTAGAGACATTTTCTTATACACTGTTAATCCAGTTTTTCACACAAACTGACTGCTGTTCAGTTTTTCTGTCCAGTGATTATTGGCAGAGAGGAGAGGAAAAAGATAAACACTCTTTCGAAAAGTCTTTGAATATTTCAGGGAAGTATCGTCAAAGTGCAGGATTTTTAGCTTATTTCTGCACTGCTGTGAATGCACATGCTCCAGAGGATGAACAGGCATTTGGACATGACTCCGTCTAATGATGTTTTGACATGGATGTACAGTGGAACTAAGTGACTGCCTTGCGGCAAAAATAGGGGAAGTGGGCATCCACCAGCTTTCACTAATTATTACAATTAAGGCCTTCTAAATGTGAAGTAATCACCGTAATTTCAGTGCCTTCATCTTGGGGCAATTAAATGACAAACAAACAACCCAGAGTTTGATTTAGCAATCGCTTCTTAATGGAATTAATTATGGAGGAAAACAACAGGATGTGATTATTTTTCAATGAAATGCATAAGTTACCAGACAGGATGAGCTTCTAAATTTGACTAAATGGGTAATGAAAACAGGTGGTAGTAAGAAATTAAAATCCAGCAGGCCAAACTGTGCTGTGAGCTCTAGTTTAGACAATGCTTAATCAATCATGTAAGGTAAACTCTGCGTAAGTAAAAAAGTAAATGTTTATGAGATGAGTTAATAAAACACATGTGGACTAAATCACGAGGCCACTCTGCTGGATTTTATATTTTGAAGCAATTCACAGCTAAATCAGCATGGGTATATTGTATAATTAAGCTATACAACTGATGTTTTCACGGTACCAACGGTATCAACGATGGATCAACCAGCATTGCTAATAATGGACCATCAATGATGGTAGGAAAGAAGCTGCAGAACTGCATTTGTGGCTGGTCAAAACTAACAACCGACATGGGCCTTAAAATCCACCAAGGCAGGAAGAAGTGCCTCAGCAAGCTGAGAAAGGGGCCTCGCATTGACGCATACTTTTTAAGAAGTAAGTCAAATCAGTCGATTTAAGTCTAGAGGCAGGAGAATCCCCACAATCCTCAGGGCATCAGCACCCTGTTCGAAGTTCATTGTCGTACAGACTCCCCCATAGTCTCCAGATTGGAACTCAGTCAAATCCAGACAGCAGCAGTTCCCAGTCTAGAGCTTAGCCAGCCACACCCAATATTAGATTCTAGCTCAGGGCCCGGCCATTTATTATCAGCCCCTAGCTTTGAGTTTAGCCACCAACAACTAGCAACACACTTGGGTGTAGATGTATGACAATCAACACTATGTTCCAGCCCAGAGCTCACCCAGAAACAGCCAACAGAATCTTCCAACACTGTCTAGTCTCGCACTACCAGAAAGGGAAAGGAAGATGGAAGGTAGGAAAGATCAGACTCTGTGGCCCAGA